ATCATCATCCTGGGTGTGAGGTTTTGTCGCAGGAGGAAGCCCAGACTGTTGTTTGACGGAGCAGTCGCCATCCCCAGCGCTTATCTCCCTCCTAATTACGCAGATGTTGACGGCACAGGAACTTTACGCAGCACCTACAACTATGACGCATACCTGACAACAGGTTCTCGAACCAGTGACTTTAAGTTTGTGACGTCATACAGTGACAACACACTGCCTGCTGACCAGACTCTGAGGAAAAGTCCAACTGACTTTATTGATACATTTGGAGACTGTGAATATTCTCCTGAGGTAGGAATATGTGACCTCTTATTATTAATCATTTTGGCTTCTTATGGGTTTTTTAATCAGCTACAGGACTTTTATTTCATGCTGCTAGTTGAGAGTTGGCAAAAACTTCAACAACTTTGTTTGTGTTTAAGTCCGTTCAAGTTGAAAGTTATTGCAGGCTCTATGTTTTTTCATTATTAATGTTTTTTCCCCCCTGTCTCCTCTAAACGTATTTTCAGCACGATAGCGGGTAGTTGTGCAAGTGATGTACTGATCTCAGTTTTTTCCACTATTTCAGATGTATTGATCTTCAGCTTGACTTGGGAGGTAGTTTCTGCACAGGGTTCTATGTCATCTTATGCCTTTGCTTTTGGTTTTCTGTTTGTTTGTTTGTTTTTGGAGGTGGGGTGATGCCTGTATCATGCAAGTGCCGTTTTCCTGTTTTGCCCATCTTTTGCATCTCATCTGTTGGCACTGCTTTCTTATTGTCATTGAACCATTTTATCTCTTTTCCAGTCCTGCGTTGTTCTGTTCTGGTACTTAACTACATATTTGTTCTTAAAGGTCTTGACCTCATTCCTCAACTGTAGTAGGGTATATCTACATTTTGAGTTTTATAAACACGTCATGACTTAAGTAAAAGGTGAGTGTAATAAGTTAAATGGTTTGTCTGATTGGATGTGTTCATTAATAATGGTTGGCTTATTCTCCATTGTGTCTTCAGTAGAGCTGCATCTTTCTTTCCTATTTCTCTGTCCATGGTGCTGACCATCCCTGTTGCTCTATACGTTTTCAGGACCAAGTTGCCCCCGTCCTGGTATTCTAATTGTGCAAGTCAAAGTAATAATATGACGTGTTCAGACCATAATTTTTCTGGTAACACTTTACAAACAGGGTACATTAATTAACCGTACTTAATGCAGTAATAAGCATTAACTAATAGGTAACTAATGCATTTATTCATCATGTACTAATGTTTTTCATGTTAGTTAAAGTATTACCTCATACATTATTTAATAGTGTTTAACGACACTGCTAACATTTGTTGATGCAGTAATAAGCATTAACTAAACGTTAAATAATACAATAATAAGCATTGCATTCAACAACTTAAATTGTCAATAAAGATATTAACATTTATTTCACGAAGTTCACAGCTTAGCAGTTTCATTAGGAGAAGGCTGTTTTAATGTTCATTTAAGCATAATAATTGTCCACTTACTTGTCCATCCTCCAACCAACGAATTCACTTTGTC